CCCCAAATGTCCCCAAATCCTTCAATGTCCCCAAACCCCCAATGTCCCTGATGTCCCCAAAAGGTCCCCAATGTCCCCCAATGTCCCCAATGTCCCCCCCAATCCCCCAAATGTCCCCAAATGTCCCCAAACCCTTCAACATCCCCAATGTCCCCAAAGGTCCCCAATGTCCCCAAATGTCCCAAGTGTCCTCAAGCCCTCAACGTCCCCAAAGTGTCCCCAAATGTCCCCAAACATCCCCAACACCCAATTCCCTCCAAATGTCCCCAAATGTCCCCAATGTCACCAGCCAAGTGTCCCCAAAATGTCCCCAACCCCTTCAATGTCCCCAAATGTCCCCAAATACCCAAAGCCCCTCAAATGTCCCCGAATGTCCCCAATTCCTTCAATGTCCCAAACTTGCCCAATGTCACCAATGTCCCCAACCATCTCAACATCCCCAAAGTGTCCCCAAACCCCCCCAATGTCCCCAAATGTCCCCAACCCCCAAGATCTCCCAATGTCCCCAAAATGTCCCAAATGTCCTCAAGCCCAAATCCCCCTCCCACGCAGTGTCCCCAAATGTCCCCAACCTCCAGGGTCCCCACTGTCCCCCAATGCGCCCAACGTGTCCCCAAATGTCCCCAAATGTCCCCAAATCCCCAACCCTCAAAATCCCCGATGTCCCCAAATTCCCCCAAATGTCCCCAGCCCCAAATTTGCCCCAAATGTCCCCAAATGTCCCCAGATGTCCCCAGGTCCCACCTGGCCTTGCTGCGGCACTTGCACTTCCCACCTGAGGGGACACAGAGGGGACACCGGTGACACGGGGGACAGTGACACACAGGGGACAGTGACACAGGGGACAGTGACACGGGGGTGACAGTGACACAGGGGACAGTGACACGGGGGACAGTGACACACAGGGACACAGGGACACAGGGACACAGGGGGCACAGGGACACAGGGGACAGGGACACAGGGACACAGGGACACAGGGGACACAGGGACAGGGACACAGGGACACAGGTGACACAGGGGTGACAGTGACACACAGGTGACACAGGTGACACAGGGGACAGGGACACAGGGGACAATGACACACAGGGGACACAGGGGACTCAGAGGGGACACAGAGGGGACACAGGTGACACAGGGACACAGGGAGACAGGGGACACAGGTGACACAGGGGACAGAGACACACAGGTGACAATGACACACAGGTGACACACAGGTGACACACAGGTGACAGATGACACAGGTGACACAGGTGACACACAGGTGACACAGGTGACAGTGACACAGGGGACAGTGACACACAGCTGACACAGGGGACAGTGACACACAGCTGACACAGGGGACAGGGACACAGGTGACAATGACACAGGAGACACAGGGAGGTGACAGATGACACAGGTGACACACAGGTGACAATGACACTCACTGAACAGGACAGCGATCCCCAGCAAGCACAGGTGACAGTGACACACAGGTGACACACAGGTGACAATGACAATGACACACAGGTGACAATGACGCACAGGTGACACACAGGTGACAGTGACACAGATGACATACGTGACAGTGTGACAGTGACAATGACACACAGGTGACAATGACACTCACTGAACAGGACAGCGATCCCCAGCAAGCACAGGTGACAGTGAAACAGGTGACAATGACACACAGGTGACATAGGTGACAGTGACAATGACAATGACACACAGGTGACAATGACACATGCAGGTGACACAGGTGCCACTCACAGGTGACAGTGACAATGACACAGGTGACAGTGACACACAGGTGACAATGACAGTGACAGTGTCACTCACTGAAGAGCACGGCGATCCCCAGCACACACAGGTGACAGTGACACACAGGTGACAGTGACACACAGGTGACAATGACAGTGACAGTGTCACTCACTGAAGAGCACGGCGATCCCCAGCACACACAGGTGACAATGACAATGACACACAGGTGACAGTGACACAGGTGACAGTGACAGTGACAATGACACACAGGTGACAGTGACACGGTGACACACAGGTGACAATGACACACAGGTGACAGTGACACGGTGACACACAGGTGACAGTGACACACAGGTGACAGTGACACACAGGTGACAATGACAATGACAGTGACACACAGGTGACAATGACACGCAGGTGTCACTCACTGAAGAGCACGGCGATCCCCAGCACACACAGGTGACAATGACAGTGACACACAGGTGACAGTGACACAGGTGACACACAGGTGACAGTGACAATGACACACAGGTGACAGTGACAGTGACACAGGTGACAGTGACACACAGGTGACAATGACACGCAGGTGTCACTCACTGAAGAGCACGGCGATCCCCAGCACACACAGGTGACAGTGACAGTGACACACAGGTGACAGTGACACAGGTGACACACAGGTGACACACAGGT